TCTGTCCACACGAAAACGGCCTTTTCGGGCACCAAAAACACAGGTCACCAGAAAGCGGTCCCCAGAGTGGACTTTTGAAAACGTCGACTTTTCGTTTACGTGTAGACGGACAAAAACAGAGGTTTTCTAATACGACGATGTCATTTATTATACGCTAGTAGCACTGCGTTTGTTCTGTGAGGGATGCTATCGTATTTCAATCATTTCAGCGTTTTTATGTATGTGGACAGGGTCTTATTACTTATAACCTTAAGAACAATGAAAAAAATAAGCGGGCAAATGCGACGGCTTATAAATTACGGCTCGCAATTGAATCTACCCAAGTAAAAATAATAAGGTACTTACCAGCCTGGGGTTTTCCCGAAGGTGTTGAACAATTGTTCGACGTAACTCATCATGGGACATTTGAATTCCATTGACGAGGTCAAGCTGCTCTGAGAGTGCAAAAAACATGCAGTTCCCCTCTCCTTGATTGTCAGAAATCGCAAAACCTTTCTCCAAAGCAGTCCTCTTTAACGTCTGCAACAGCTTAGTTTTGCAGGACTCTATACGTGCTTCCAGCAGGATTTGTTGAAGGGCAACGACAATGGGTTCACCTGTAAAGGGAAGATGAATAAGACAAAATAAGATAGAGGTTATTTCACGCCAGTTTAATAGGAGATGATGATAATGATAATGATAATGATAAACAATTTGTATAGCGCTAGAGCTATAAAATATTCATAAGCGCTTAACATTAATTTACAATGAAAAAAATGCCTAAAAAGCTACTACTACTACTACTACTACTACTACTACTACTACTACTACTACTACTACTACTACTACTACTACTACTACTACTACTACTACTACTAATAATAATAATAATAATGATAATAAAAGAATTTCATCCTATGCTAAAATCTAAAAAATAAAAGTCTAATATTCTATAAAAAAAATTACTATTGAAATATTCAAAGCACTAAACTTCAGAGTTATTCTAGTAAATTATTAGCTTTCCTAAAAAGAAATTTTTTAAGATGCTTTTTAAAGATGGCGAGGCTGCTACTTGTTCATATAGTTAATGGCAGCGAGTTCCATAAAACAGGTGTAGCACAGTGCACTGGTCTGAAGCTTAAAACAGTCGACAATTTCAGAAATATTACTGTGGTTTTAAAAGAACAAAGTAACCTCACTCTATTGCTAAATTAAGAATTTGTTCATGCTTAGCGTGCGTATATCGAGTTATGGATGCACGCGGGAAGTTTGGAGAGCACGAAAGATGCGTAAGAGTTGTACGAGGCGATAGCCGAGTGCAACTCTAGCTTCTTGAGTGCTCTCCAAACTTCCCAAGTGCATCCATAACTCGATATACGCACAGCTAAAAGCATGAGCAAATTCTTTTATAACATAGCTGATAAAAATCAGTGCTCGCTTTTTGATTAACTGCAAAATTCTCGTAACGCGCGACACAATAACAAACGGTTCTATTGGCTGATTACGAACACGCCACAATCGTCTAGTTTGAATGAAAATATTCTTTTTGTAAAAGCGAGAAAGAAAATTTGCTTCTTTATTCGTTAAGTCAACGGAAACTCAGCAGAAACAAAGGTAACAGAGTCTTAAAGTTCACCTAAAGTTGAACTACTAACATGTTCGTAAGAAGTTGTGGAGTATGGTTTGGATTTGCTGAAAACATGTTTACGTTTTGCTCGGCGAAATCCAGAAAACATATTTTTAGCAAACACGACTGTCATCCGTCTTTGAACTTATATTCATTTACGAACATTGGCTGGTCATTACGGCTTCTTGAGAGGAGCTGGCAGCAGTTGCTTTTGTGAGTAATATATCTATGTCTTCTTGTGTAATTTGTGTTGTTATTGCGAGAGAAATTTTCCCGCTTCAGTCGGATTGTCCGGAGATAACAAAGTGCATAACAAATTTAAAAACAACAATAAAAACGGAAATTTTGCCTTTAAATGTTGTTTATGGCCAGTTGGTGTCTGTTCTGTTCCCAGTGAATGTCTTTAGGCCAAAATTTGCTGCAGCTAGTCTTCGACAAATTTGCGAAACGCGCAACTTGCGAGTTTTTTTTTTTTTCTTAATTCGGCTTTATTTTTGCTGCTTGTTGGATCAGGACCTAAAAGGTCAATACCGATAGAAAAATTGGGCAGTTCTTCGCTGGTTTCTTCCATATTTTAAAGAGAAGGAAAAGTGCACTTAAAAGACGACAACTTTGCAGCCAGGTAAGAAAAAAAATGCCCACGTCATCTTATTTACGCACGGGCGTGCGTAAATAAAGATTTTGCTCATGTCGGCTCAATAGGACTTATATAGGGCAAGCACGCGCGCTATGTTATTAATAAATTTTGGCTTTCGTTTAATTGGCAAAGCAAACAATGACATTACCTGCCATCGGCCCTGTTGCAGCATCTTTTTCCAGGTCATTCTGTGGGATGTCATCTTCTTGGGTTTTTTCAACACCTGTAAAATTTAAAATTTTCCGTAAATTTAAATGGTTTGGTCGGTAAGCGGGAGAGGGAAACAGTTACTTTACGTCAGTTTACTTGAAGACGCTACACTAAACATTGAAAAGCTAAAAGCACCCGAATAGTCTTTGGTTTAATTGACAAAGCAAACAATTACATTACCTGCTATCAGTCCTGTTGCAGCATCTTTTTGACAGTCGTTCTGTGCAAAGTCACCTTCTTTGGTTTTTTTAAGACCTGTAAATTTAAAAAATAAGTGATGATTAAAAGAAAAAAATGTCACTCTTAAAAAAAGGAAGATTCCAACGTTAAAGGCGCCCCATTCATTTTTTGTGACAAGTTATAAGCCAAAAGTTTAGCTGGACTTTTTTGGTTACTTTCTTTTTATATACAAGAGAGCCCCACCATTACTGCTGCATATGAATAGAAATCAGATGACTTTGATGTCTCGCAATGTTATAGATTTTAATTGTATTTACCCTTAACTCCTTCAAGTCATATCAAGTGTAGCCACAACATGTTATAAAATTATACATGAACGTTTTAAAGAATGGAATTGATCAGCCGCTAAAAGATATCTTGATTGATAAACAAATTCCCCTCATCAGTAAAACAAGATATGTATGGTGAACAGTGCAGAGAATGTGAATGCTAACATTAAGGTTAAAAAGGTTAACGACAATATTTCTGAAGCGATCACATATTAATAATAACAATAATAATAATAATAATAATAATAACAACAACAACAACGACGACGACAAAAAATATTTGTATAGTGCCTATACTTTTCAATGCTAAGCGCTTAACAGTGCTTTAAAAAGGTCCGGATAAAAATAGAAATTCTAGAATCATTTACATGTAATCCTTACATAGTCACAAAAATGCAAAATCAAAACCCAAAACTCGCTTAAAAAGAATGGTCCTCAATTTAGATTTAAATTTATTCACATCATCGATCGATCTAATATCAAAAGACACATCGTTCCAGAGAAAATAGGCAGTGACTCAAAAAACCCTTAACCCCGTATGTCTTTAAGCTTTAGGGTTTAATAACGAGACGCCATTCGTATGAAGATGAGCCAAGACACCTCGCAGGTTCATAAACAAAGAAGAAGGTCTACCAGATAACCAGGAGCTAAATTGTTGAGTATCTTGAAACATAAAGATTAATCTGAAAGATTATTCTTTGCTCCACTGGTAGCAAATGCAGCTCCTTTAGAGTATCGCTATTATGATCAAACTTACGTAAGCAAGCAATCACACGCGCTGCAGCGTTTTGGACACTTTGCAGCTTGTTAATATCATACTTGGGAAGACCATATAAAAGCGAGTTGCAGAAATCCAGCTTGGAATTTATGAATGCGTGCACAAGAACTTCAGCCGTTGTAACATTGATATACTTACGAAGCTATATTTCTAAGGTGGTAGAATGCCCCTTTAACTATATTGTTGATATGAAAAGACATCGTTATGGTGTTATCGAAAATGACGCCGATATTACGCGCCTTATTTGTAGGCTTGATGATATCAGTTCCTATTTTAATAGAAGGAAACCGCGGGGGCAGTCTGAACCTAGAATGGAGAAGGAGAAGTTCCGTTTTGTGATTATTTAGTTCCAGTTTGTTCATCCGGTTAGTGATATCAACAAGATAGCTTTCAATTCGGGAAATTGTAGTGGTAAGATCAACGCTATCATCACAACTGAAGGTGTGTACAGTTGAGTGTCATCAGCATATAGATGGAATTCCATATCATGCCATCCTATAAGGTCACCCAGTGGGGTCGTGTATAAGAGATATAGCAACGAACCCAGCACGGACCCCTGGGGTACACCAAGTCTGAGCGGACGAACTGAAGAAGTAAAACCATCAATCTGAACTGACTAGGAACGATCCGTAAGATAAGACTGAAGCCACGCCTGGATCGAAGTCTTTGTAACAAGATCTTATGATCGACGGTGCTGAAGACTGCTGAGAGGTCCAGCAGCAAGAGAACTACGCATTGTTTATTATCGATTGATTTCAGTATATCATTTTGAACACGTAAAAGCGCTGTCTCACAACTGTGGTGTTTCTTATAAGTAGTCTGGAGACTTTCATTCAGATCATTGTCACACAAACAATCCGTCAGACCCATGGCTGGAACTTTTTCAATAACCGTAAACAAAAACTTCAGGTTAGATATAGGTCGAAAGTTAGAACAGGGTCTAATAATGGAATATTTACACGGGACTGCAGCCCATGTGGTGGCCCTTAAAACCAAGTTCTATCAAGAACGCTACAGTAATTTATCTAAGTAATTGAGGGGGCTACATGAATTTTTTGAGGCACAAAATTTTTTGTTATGAAGTCTATTGAGACGGCTAATTGTACCGTAATAAGAAAATTTAACGGATTAAAAAAATTTACAAGTAAAAAAAATAGACCTCTTTTTTCTTCCAACATGTTTGCAAATAAGGTGCCACAATAACAGTCAAATGTCTTCCATTTCATAACGCGAGTTAACAACTCTTGAATCGCAGTATTATCAGTCATCTTTACCTCCTTTCTGTGGAATAAGGCTAACATAGTGAAGCTCGTACACGTGACCCAGCACAAGCCGGTTGCTACCAGTAACATCAAACTCTGGGCAGATCATTACGTCATGGCGATGCAGAAGACTGCTGATCACGTGGATGCACGTTTCAAAACAGTTTGCCGCGCCGTGTAGAATCACGTGATCACCCCATATACCATCTGCCATCATACTTGTGAGGTAGGCATCCCAGGATGGATATCCATCAACAAAATGAAACAGTTCTGTCCCATCTGGCTGTAAGAAAGAAAGAAAATACTGTAGTTAATAGAGAAAAAGGTAGAGTGCTTTTGTAGAAGGTATTTTATTTAGACAGCCGCGCTGTCTGTTCTCTCTAAAGCTGACCCCGCTGGTATCAGCACTAGTATAGTGTACATTGTTTTAGGAGTATCCCTACTAACGTATTAAAGCAAAGATTTCTCCACCTTAGTAGTATAGGACTAGCCAGGTAGACGTCTTTTTTAAAGTGAAATAAATTAACGTCGATAACGTCTTTATCTCCTTTGCGCGCCAAGAATCAGTGAACTGGAACCAGAACAATAAAGCTATGATCATACTATACCAGATAAGCTTTGGTGACGACACGAAAAGCCATCCGGTATAGTGTAAACATCTATCCGATATGTGACTCTTCACTTAAGAGATCGGCGAGGCACAGCTTCTCTCCGTTTAACAGAAATCGCGCCGAAATCACCGTTCTTATGTGCGAACTGGAACCCCATCCGGTATGATTCTCGTGCCCGCGAAAAAACTATACGGTATAGTGTGAAGACAGATTAAGTTGTCTGCAAGAGACAATGAAGGCGTCATGGTTTAGAGGTGTCTTCCTGACCAAATAAAAACATGACGCACATAATTTAGAATGATCTACGGCATCATTCCCACAAAATAAGGACAAGATCTTAAAATGTTACATCATCAATATAAGAATAATTGGACAAACTAAATACTACATAAAAATAGCTCGTGACGTTATCTTGATGAGATTCCACCGCATTTTATTGCTGAGATAAAGATGTCATGTCATCGACGTTAATTTATTCCACTTCTTTCACAGTAATAAGATTCGACTACAAAAAGCGGTCTAACCTGTGTCAGCTATATTACTCTCCTTAAAAATGTCAAAAAAACAACAGTTAAGAGCGGCAGGGACCAACACGTTTAGGGAGGTGGAGGTGGAGTAGGTTTAGGAGGTTTTAGGGAGGTGTCCGTTACACGTGTAAGAGAGAGAGAGGAAGGAAGGGATGTTTACTGTTAAAATAATGTGACTTTCGAAATTGTGACTTTTAAACCAGTATGTAGTCATATCCTGTTCACACAAAACTGGTGTTGGTCGGCATTTCAAGTTTAGCAATATACCGTACAGTTAAATAATAAAATAGGACATGAGCATGACGATCGAGCCGACAAAAACAGATAAAAAAATTTCTCCGTATCTATTTATGCCTCCGACACAAAAAGTAACTTGGGAAAAGAATGTGCGTTCTCTCAAACTTTATCGCGCTTATTTAGCCATGCTTAATTTAACATAAGTCGACGAATTTTCTTAGATTTGAGTTCTTAATGACTGTATCCCAGCCCGAAAACAACTGCGGGGGGTTCGGTGCCCTACACAAAACGTCGCATACGGACGTTTTGCGTCGCAGTCGTGCAGTGAACGACGAAGCAAAGTACAAACAAGCGTGATGCTTATGCAGAGCTGATGTTTTGATCATAAAGGGTGGATTCATTTGCAGCATACCCGTAAAGGCGTCACATTCAATGGCAGGAATTTGAGGCCACGTCCACACGTATCCAGATATATATTTTTTTTAAATCGGAGGTTTGTTTGTCCATTTTAGCCTTCTGCCACACGTGATCGGCATTTTCGGGCGCCGAAGACGCAGGTTTTCACAAATGGTCCAAAGAGTGGAGATTTTAGAAACCGACGTGAGTAGTATACTATGGATGAAGATAAGCCTCATTGGTGGATAGGTAAGGATAGTTTAGGGATAGGTAAATCATTGACGTGGATAAGTGCCTAGTCTATGACGTCACCTCGGAAAGAAGTGCCTTCCTCCATACTAATTAAGTGCCTAGTCAGTGTCTTCCTGCATACTAATTCGGGATAGGTTTACTTATGAGCGTCACTCTACTACAATAGGAACAATAGGCTTGCCTAGACTTGCCCTGTAAGTAACTTGAGCCCGGTTTTCGGACCGTCTATTAAAAGAAAAATAGGAAAAGAGAAGCGATCACCTAGCAACGCGAGAAACGGCTTCCTATATCTTATTTAGCGCTAAAACTCGGATATATATAAACAAAACATACACAAATTGGAGCTGTAAACTCTTTATTTCAAGTTTGTCTGACTATTACAGAACCGTTTTCTCCTTTCTATCTCGAGGAAAAGAAAAACTATTGAAGTCTTGTCATTTTCACGCGCGGTTAATCAGTTAATTATGCGAGTTCACAAGCCCAAAGTTGAATACAAATTAGCTCTACAGCTAGACCCCAGGGAGCAACCTTGACGTATTATTATAAAACAAATAACTTAACAAGCATCAATTAAAACACGCGACTCATAATTGCTAGCAATAAAAAGACAAGAGAGATATCGTTTTAAAAGAATTTATTAAAAAACAATGACAAAAAGAGTCAAATACACAGGAATGGAAATTAATTAATCCTCTTCTTCGCTCTCCTCTGTAGAAGGGGAATAGAAATTGGTTTCCAACGTCTTCGCGTTTTTGTGTGAAACTGCTCCGCAATCGTGACACCGAAGAAAGCCCTCTTTCATGTTATGTAATGAGGAGGAGGAAAAACAATAGAAATGAGGAGGGAGAGGAGGAGGGAAAACAATAGAAATGAGGAGGAGGAGGAGGAAAACAATAGAAATGAGGATGAGGAGGAGGAGGAGGAAAGAAAACAATAGATATGTGGTGGTGGTGGTGGTAGTGGCGGTTTTGGGGAAGGAACACAATATAATTTTGTGGCCTGAAAACCTATATAAATGCGCAACATTCTACCTCTTTCTCAGTCTACATTTTGCTCCTGAGGAGTTGACATGAGTTGGCTCTGTTCTGTCTGCGAAAAACCCTTTAGTAGAAAAGATAATATGCAAAGGCACGTGAAGTCTAAACACCGCAATGCTGGTCTCACCCCATTTCAAACAGTTCCAATATTTTCACAGAAATGTCAGGGGTTTCGCTTCGAGCATCCTTTCACCTCCATGATTGCCGGAATGACCGGGTCCGGAAAAACGGCCTGGGTTCGATCGCTATTGCAACAAGCTTCAGAGACCATTTACCCTCCCCCGGAGAGGATCGTTTGGTGTTATTCACAATGGCAGCCTGCGTAAACACAAATGTTAGTCGCCATGCCAAACATTGAATTCGTCAAGGGAATTCCTACGGCTTTGGAGCAAAATTCCTATTTTGATGTGAACAAACGGAATTTGATCGTGTTTGATGATCAGATGATTGACGCCAGTAAGGACAAGCGAATTGTGAACCTTTTTACTCGTGGTTCTCATCATCGCAATATGAGCGTGATTTATATCGTGCAGAATCTATTTCAACAGGGGAAAGGTAGCCGCAGCGTAAGCTTAAACAGCCATTATCTGGTGTTATTCAAGAATCCACGAGACAAATTGCAAATCCTGACTCTGGCGAAGCAAATGTATCCCGGGCAGACTGATTTCTTTTTAAATCAGTACGAAGAGGCTGTAAAAAGACCTTTTGGTTATCTTCTTATTGATCTGAAAACTACTAACCAAGATAATTGTCGGTTGCGAACAAACGTCCTGCCCAGTGAAGAAGGCTTTAACCAAGCAAGGTTTCAAGAAAATATTCCTCAAGAGCTCCTAAAATATCTGAAGCAGCAAACTCTTTCGCCTGTCCCACTTCTTCCAGCTATGCAAGAAATACAGGACAACATGGATGACGTGCTTTCTCGAAACGATCTTCGGGACGATCAAAAAGCTAAGCGATACGTTCAGTTGCAAAACAGATACCTGGCTTTTAAAGAACAATTAAATACAAGAACACGACCGGAAGAAATAATCAGTACTGTTCCAGACTTAACATCAAGGACACAAGATTCTTCGACAGCAACGACAGCATTCTCGACTCCCCTCAACCCCTTTAATGTAACACCTTAATTAACACAAGCAGCTATCTCTCAAAAAGCTGACAAAGAAAGCCTCACCCCTCCACCACCCTTAAATTCTGCTTTCCTGACCCCTCCTCCCACAGTAGAAACCCCATCACAACAAGGACCGAAGCGCAAAAGGCGTCGGATTCAATTTCTAAATTATTTGGATGATCATAAATCTCATGGCAACCAGCTGAAGAAACGTATAAGAATAAGAAATAAGAAATTCAAACCTTACAAGTACTCCATGGGCGAAGATGAAGATTAATTAATTTCCATTCCTGTGTATTTGACTCTTTTTGTCATTGTTTTTTAATAAATTCTTTTAAAACGATATCTCTCTTGTCTTTTTATTGCTAGCAATTATGAGTCGCGTGTTTTAATTGATGCTTGTTAAGTTATTTATTTTATAATAATACGTCAAGGTTGCTCCCTGGGGTCTAGCTGTAGAGCTAATTTGTATTCAACTTTGGGCTTGTGAACTCGCATAATTAACTGATTAACCGCGCGTGAAAATGACAAGACTTCAATAGTCTTTCTTTTCCTCGAGATAGAAAGGAGAAAACGGTTCTGTAATAGTCAGACAAACTTGAAATAAAGAGTTTACAGCTCCAATTTGTGTATGTTTTGTTTATATATATCCGAGTTTTAGCGCTAAATAAGATATAGGAAGCCGTTTGTCGCGTCGCTAGGTGATCGCTTTTCTTATTCCTATTTTTCTTTTAATAGACGGTCCGAAAACCGGGCTCAACTTACTTACCGGGCAAGTCTAGGCAAGCCTATTGTTCCTATTGTAGTAGAGTGACGCTCATTAGTAAACCTATCCCGAATAGAGTACTAAAGCCATGACGTCACGTTGCGTGGCAACGGAAAAATCTGGGTCTAAACAAAACGGATGGAGTAAGTCATGGCGGCACTTTCGATATCATCGCTGGCTTCCTTTTTCTCTGATGAGCAGAAGTCCTTAACAAGAGGTGAAAATCATTATCAGTCTAATCACATAGAAAGTTTTTCCTTCAGTGATGGTGTCATTCGTGGAGAAGTTCACGCTAGCATGAAGAAAAAAGTGTATAAAGTGACGGTAAGTGATCGATACTTTCAACCATGTTCATTCTTGTCGATTCTATCAACCAAATGGCTTTTATGCATTTTGTGGCTTCACTCAGTCATGTTGATCGTTATTTTATCTAATACAAATATTTAAAAGAAAGCTTAATCCACGATTTGGAGGCCTAAACGCAACCGACGGTACCTCGCTCTGTTTTTTATGTTGAAAGGTAATTTCACCACGTTCCCCATCATGAATTAAGCTTTAATATATGAAAACTTACAAACGCCTTACAGTTCCCCAAATAATACCAGTTTTCTCCTTGATTTTAGATTTATTTAGACGAAGAGAAGAACATTAAATCAACGGATTGTGAGTGTCCGCGAGGGATGTTTAGGTGTAGTCATGCTGCCGCTTTGTTTATACATGGCCTATACAACCTCAGTAGAACAGACATTGAATGCCAGTGGAAAAAGCGAAAAGCCACAAACTCGTTGCTACCGTCAGTGCAAGAAATGTTTCCTCCTGCAAAACCTGCATACCGTGCTCTTTTAAGAGACCCAACTCGTGAAGAACGTAGTGAACTTTTCCAAAGGCTGAAAAACTATGGTAAATTTACTGCACTTTATTGGCTCATGAGCCCTGAACCACAACCTCAGTCTAAGTCCTTGCCAGTTGCTACAGTAGAGGATGTTATTTTCCAAGAGGAATTTCTACTGTTGCAAGGCCTCCAAGAACAACGTCAGTATTTTCTGAATAAAGTCAGTGTTGAATGGAGAACTATTGAAGATGTAAGCCGCCTTACTGCTGGACAAAGGGACAATCCTTCTTGGCAAATGATCAGGAGGGGTCGACTGACAGCAAGTAACTTTGGTTCAGTTTTAAATGCCAAGCGTGTTACCCCGTCCTTAATCAAACGCCTTCTCGGTGAATGCGATCTATCAAGGGTGAAAGCTGTCCAGTATGGGGTATGCAATGAATCTGAAGCCATTAACGCATTCAGGCTCAAGACTGGCCTGGATGTGGTGGAAACAGGTGTGTGGCTACACCATTCTGGAGTCCTCGGTGCCTCTCCTGATGGATTGGTTGGAGAAGATAGTGTTCTAGAGGCTAAGTGCCCCTATACACACCGAGATTTGACTATTGAGGAAGCCATTAAGACCAGCAACTTTTACCTTGAAAAGAAGGATGGGGAAATTGTGTTGAAACGTGACCATGTTTACTGGCACCAAGTCCAGGGCCACTTATTTCTCACCAAGAGAAAGAAGTGTTACTTTGTCGTCTGGACGCTGAAAGATTTTGTAGTTCTTGAAATTCAGCGGGATGACTCTTGGGAGATTAAGATTGAAGAACTGAAAGAATTTTATTTGAAACACCTTTTCCCAAAAATTATTGAGGGAGAACTCTAAAACTTTCAATTCTTTTTTTTATTATTATTTTTCCATTATAGGGCACTTCTTGTATGACTGAAACACAATGTGTATGTTGTGTACAGGGCTATACATGATATGGGCTGTCCACCTTTCAAACTTGTCGTTGTTCGGAAAATTTTCAATTTCACAGTATTTTTATTCCTAAATAATAATGTATGAAATGTAACCTGTTAATTTTATTGTTTATAGTTCCTTAGTTTGTGACAAACATTAAAATAAGTTTCTCTTTGAAAACTTGTTATGACTGAGTCTGTTTCATTCAATCCTTTAACTCCTAAGAGTGACCAACTTTAAGTTTCTCATAAGTTATAGAAACACTACCCAATCAAACACATGACTGTTAACCCTCTAAGTCCAAAAATTAATGTACAAATACACATACAAATCCTGCAGACTGAGCAGACTGATATTATACATTTTCTTAAAGTATTAGCAAGAGAATGTGCAGTAGTACGTGTATCATGAATCATAAAAATTTATTTTGATGTTATGAAACATGAATGCATATACAGCATTAAGAAGGAAATATTAAATCATTCGAATTGCTTCACTTCCTCTGCAGGCATCCTGAACTTAAACAAGTACCATAACAAAAGCCTAGTGACAAGATCTTAAGGAATATGATGACTAAAGAACAATAAAAAGTACACCCAACTGTACAATATTGCTTTTGAGAATATCACTTATGTATCCACTCAACTGGCAATGTACATTAAATTTCCTAGTCAAAGTCTGTTCCCTCACACCCCTCTTTAATTAAAGGAAACTGCAAGTTGACAATAGCTGCACATAACTGAAACACTTTGTCAATGTGAGACCTTAAGTATGGAGGGACAAAACTCAGAATTTTAAAATCTTTGAGCCTTGCATTTGCCCTTTCAACATGTATGCGACATCTAGCAGTTGACTTGGTTAACTTGGCCTCACTTTCAGTAAATTTACCGTGTTCAAGAAATGGTGGAATGTTCACAGACACACCCTTAGGAACAATGTCTTGAATGAGAAATCCTTTGTCTGCTAAGATCAGATCACCAGGAACAAAGTGCTGTAGAAAACCAGATTGCTGGACAATCTCTTTGTCAGAGATGGATCCAGGGTAGAGGTTGCTAATGTAGGTCAACACTCCATTAGGTGCAACCCCTGTCAAAACTTTGAATGAGTTCATCCCACGGTAACTTGAATAGGTCACATTTTGTTGACTCATAAGGCTTGGTGTGGCCACTTCAATGTCAGTACAATCAATAATAATTCTGCAACTCGAGAACTCTGAAAAGGATGATGGCGAACACAAGCAGTTCTTGTTCCTGGAAGGAATCACTCTCATCAGATCATCAAACAGCAGTGTATGTAAGATGTGTACAAATGTTATAACTATGTTAGAAATTGTCCCAACACTGCATGAAAATAGCTGTGCCAGGTGTAAATTGGTGTAGTTTTGCCGTAATTTCATAAGTGTTATGAAGATTTGGTCCTCAAAGGTTATGGACTCGACTTTCCATCCACAGTAATAAGAAATGGAGTCCTTGAATTTAGCTGTATAATCCACTACAATTGTGAAAATCTCCTTTGTTGGTAAACCAGTTTCCATTCTGATTACTTCAGAACTCAAGTTTGAAACAGAGTAATGTTTTTTCTGATACTGCATGGTGTCCTTGTGATAGTTCAGCTCCTGCTTCGCTACGTTTAATTCTGCCTCTAAGATTATTTGCTCAGTTGGAGTTGAGGATCTTTCGTCCCATGTATCTGAAGACTCTGTAGATTTGGCATTAATGATGGCCATGGTATCTTTAACAGTCGGTAACTTATTAACCAATGATTTGGGTTTCTTTTTCTTTTTCGGAGGAGTTTTTTGTGACGGGAATAGTTTATCAGCATTCCACTTGAAAATTTCCGGCCCTGCAGATTTCTTTCCACGTCTGAAATGACAGCTGCACACTTTGGAATGCTTGCTTGGCTTTCTGTCAGCTCTCCTGATATAGAACATTACCCTTCAGATTAACATTAAGAGGTTTAAACAACGCCAAAATTTTAGCTTAAACTATCGGAATACTACTTGTGCCTTACACTTCTCGCCATTCATTTACAAAGCTCAAGTATTTCTTTATCACCGTTATCATTGTAAACAAACTTGCACCCAAATTGCACGATGGTGAAAAACCATACAAAAACAGCAAACATTCAGCCTACCTTAGTAAGCGAACCCATCGGTCATATTCTTCCTTGTCCTTATCTGGATTTGGAAACAGAAAGAAACGGCAAGTATGCGATTCCGAATTATGGTTACATTCCGGAGCAAAGCAATGCATGTTCGTGACCTTTGTGGCCTTTCACTGTGGGGATCGACCACCTACTCACAGATAAATTTCTCCATAAAATCGCACGTACAGCTTCAAACGTTTGCATCGAGCACAACAGTGGAGTCCATAAACCATTGTTTTTTTCATTCTTTGGAATAGAAAGTCCTTCATGTCGAGATTATTTAGCGAACAATACGAAACCGCAATTAACAATGGCGTCCGTATTGCAGCCTGGTTTTGTTTAGACCCAGAAAAATGGTTGTCATGACAGCGTGACGTCACACTTTAGTACTCTATTAGTATGCAGGAAGACACTGACTAGGCACTTAATTAGTATGGAGGAAGGCACTTCTTTCCGAGGTGACGTCATAGACTAGGCACTTATCCACATCAATGATTTACCTATCCCTAAACTATCCTTACCTATCCACCAATGAGGCTTATCTTCATCCCTAGATAACTACTGACGTGCGGATGGACGAATACAGAGGATTTAGAATACAACATTGCGTATGCTCTGTAAAGGGATGCTATCGTATTTCAATCATTTTAGCGTTTTTATGTGGATGGGCGAAAAAGATTCAAATACGCTTCGTGTGGACGCGTATTTCGGATACGTGTGGACAGGGCCTTATTGTTTTTAACTTAAAGAGGAATTAAAACAATGTAGCGGGCAAATGCCATGTGGCTATGCTCGTATACTACAAATGTGTGCACCCTAATAGGGTAATAAAGATACTTACCAGCCTGGGGTTTTCCCGAAGGTGTTGTACAACAGTTCGGCGTAACTCATCATGGGACATTTGAATTCCTTTGATAAGGTCAAGCTGCTCTGAAAGTGCAAAAAACATGCAGTTCCCCTCTCCTTGATTGTCAGATATCGCAAACCCTTTTTCCAAAGCAGTCCTCTTTAAAGCTTGCGAAAGCTCAGTTTTGCTGGACTCTGTGCGTGCTTCCAGCAGGATTTGTTGAAGTGTACGGAAAATAAGTTCACCTGAAAGCGGAAGACGAAAAAGACAAAATAAGATAGAGGTTATTTCACGCCAGTTTTATAGGAGATGATGATAATGATAATGATAATGAGAAAGAATTTGTATAGTGCTAGAACTATAAAATATTCAAAAGTGCTTAACATTAAGTTATAGATCAAAAATTCCTAAAAAGCTAATAATAATATCTTTTGGCTTTGGTTTAATTGGTAAAGCAAACAATGACATCACCTGCCATCGGCCCTGTTGCAGCATCTTTTTCAAAACCATTTTGTGGAACGTCATCTTCTTGGGTTTTTTCAACACCTATAAAGTTTAAAATTAGCAGTGAATTTAAATGGTTTGGCCTGTGAGCGGGAGAGGGAAACAGTTATTTTACGTCAGTTTACTCGGAGATGCTACACTAAGTGCTTTCGAATAATCGAAAGCACTCTTGCTCAACAGAAGAAAATAACCGCACTATACTGCAAAATAAATTTTGTCTTTGCTTTAATTGACAAAGCAAACAATTACATTACCTGCCATCGGTCCTGTTGCAGCAACTTTTTCACAGTCGTTCGGTGGAACGTCACCTTCTTTGGTTTTTTCAAGACCTGTAAATTAAAAAAAAGTGTAGATTATAACAAAAAAATGTCACTCTTAAAAAAGGAAGATTCCAACCTTAAAAGCCCTCCATTCATTTTTTGTTATAAGTTATAAGTCAAAAGTTTGGCTGGGCTTTTTTTGTTATTTTCTTTTTATATACAAGAGAACACCACCATTACTGCTGCATATGAATAGAAATCAGATGACTTTGATGTATCGCAATGTTATAGATTTTAATTTTCTTTTATCGTTAACTCCTTCAAGTGTAGCCAACATTTTGTAAAATTATACATAAAAGTTTGAAAGAGTGGAATTGAATTGTTAAACAAATTCTCCTCATCAGTAACAAATGTATTAAGACCTATTTATGCACTCGCTATTGCTGAAGCAATGGACATACAGCGATGAACGATGAAGGTCAAATGAAGGGTAATCCTAATAAGATATGCATTTTAACATTTTCAAGTACTAATTATTACTGTTACTTTCCTATCGGTAAATTTGATTTCTTACCATACACCATCTTCCACATTCTGTCAACAAGAGCCTGGCACTGTCTCTCCCAACTGAATCTTTCATCATAACTTCTTCGCAGACTTTGGCTTTCCTCAAGCCGCTGTGTCCTTGTTTTTTGACGGATGGCTGCAATTGCCTTTGCCCATTCCTTGGGGTCATCAGAGTCGATCACAAATGACTCACCCATTGGAAAACCACGCAGTGCTTTTCCAAATCCGGAGTTTCCACTAACCAGAATGGGAAGACCAGCTGACATGGCCTCCACTGCTGTCAAACCAAACCCCTCAGTTCTTGATGGCATGATGGCCAGATCGACTTCACAAAACAACTCTCTCAATCTTTGTTTGTCTTTCACAAATGATCTCACAATCAGCTGGTTCTTTGAAATGCCAGTCTGGAGTAAGATTTTTGCGACTTCATCCTGCTTTCCATCGGTTGCACCAACGAAAACAAGACTATAAGAACTGTCCTTCAATTCCACTATCGATTTAGCGGCGATGTCGTATCCTTTAAGACTAAAGTCTTCCAAATCACCGCGACCAAAGGTCAATACTCTGAAATTTACACCATCTTGTGCAGCATGTCCAATATCTGAAAACTCTGCGAAGGAACCTGGTATAAATTGAAAGACATCTCGATGAGATGAGCGCAACTTGCACGTGATCGCTTCTTTTAACTTTGGTCCAACGGCTACAACAAGATCTGCAATTTGACAAAGCTCAACTTCAGCTCTGTTCTTCGCTTCTCCCTTGGCAATGGCGCTTGGATAGTTCTTATGCATCGCCAGCTCTTCAGGCTCGGTGTGAACAACCTGCAACCACTTGCATTGATGAGACTTTCTGATAATTTGTGCTTGTCTGCCAAGCTTTGCTCCGTGGCCGATCACAACCTGAATGTCAAGGTCATCTGGTGGAAAACTCAACCAGTCAAGAGGATCACTGAAGGCAGGAAGACGCCCTGCTTCCCGGATAGAAATGTTGTGAATTTTGGCAGCTCTCTTGTCCTCTTCGCCACACTCAAATTCAGGTACAAGAATGGTGACTTCTACGTTTGCGTCTTTTGCCAAATGTATGGCAAGAGTTCTGTTTATTGTTGACAAGCCACCCTTGGACGACCCCCACTCATTCGCGAGAAGGGTAACTTTCAGTACCAGACGCTCTGGACGAGCTTGTGCAGTATCAGGTGAAGATGATGGAGTACACTCCTCCTGAATGGCAACCAAAATTGCATATTTTAAATTAAATTTTACATCTGGGGGTTTCTACCTTGTGGAATGAAAGTTTGCAAAACATGTTATCAACACGTTAGATGCTATAAAGTTATCGCTCAACAATAAAACAAAACTGTTCAGCACATTGAAAAAGACTGCGACCCACTGCTATGCCTACAGGCCAACATTAATTAGTAATACATGGTAGCCACTTAATATCACGTAAGTGGATAAGGTCAATTACCAATCTTCGCTAAGTTGAATGCAAAAAAGCCTTCTCTTACACTGCAGAGAAGCTCATGATAGTATAAATCAAGACATACGTTGTACATCATACAATAACCTAACAAAGTACATGCATATAGATTTTGTTGAAACCTTTTTAGTTTAAATAGATGGCTACCTTTTAAGGACATAAGTTTTTATTAGTAGTATGTGTATTCGCTTGCTATATGTAATATGCTAAGAGCACTGCTAGAGATGGCATTTTACTGCTACCTACCTTACTTTCTATTTGTGAGAACCACTTTTCCTGTCCTGTAACTGTGAGTACCTCCTCAACAGGTTTCTTTTTGCAAATCATAGGATCACCTTGTCTTAACTCAAGGAGATGAAGACAATCATCATGAGAACATGCCATCTGATCATGCCTTGAACACTTTTCCCGCTGACAATACGGACAGGCGACCCGAATATGATACTGCAATCCACCTTTATAGAGATCACGAGACAAAGTTTGCAAAGTTGCCTCCACAAACTCACGAACCTGCACTGCCACCTCACTTGTGCCATCCACCGAGATCTGCTGAAGTTGGTTTCTTTGCTTGATAAAAAACTTAATAAACTGCTTCTTACAAATAAGGACAAAATCATGGACAGTTTTCTTCCCAATAACAAACCACGCTCCATTTTGGTACAGGGTAGGGGGCTGTGTTGGACCATCTTCAGAACACCAACGGACAGATCGAGAAACAAGCCGAGTGAACAGACCATGGGGAACAGAACCGCTGACAAAGTAAACAAACAGAGGACAAGGGTCCAGCCTTGAGGGCGCCATGGAACAAAGGGAATCAGGTGAAGCTTTGAGTTGAGATGGAACAAAATACTTATCAACTGTTTTTGAAGATGAAAATTTTGCAATCAATCCAAATTGTTCCATCAAATCAAGAATGTCTTTCCTGGCAACACCCTTCAGAAGAAATTTGGAAAACACATGATCAAGCAATTCCATGCTGAGAACACCGCTTTCTTCGACTTCCTTCCAGTGCTTTGCAAACTTAGGGACCTAAGAGACAATAACAAGAGGAATGATCACAAAAAGTTTCAACACAGCTTTCTTGTAGGATCATTTTACACTACTAAAGTGTTAAATTTTTAGTAAGTTTACTAAAAGAAATTTGCGGATTTGTGTGAGGACGCATGTAAAATGGAAGTTACAAAAGACTGCCTAGATAGTACAACTGAGAAAAAATCTCTCTGGCGGGCGAAAAAAGACCTCAAATTTGAAATCTTTAGAGTGCTCGTTGAAGCGCCACGTAAATGCCAGCATCCTCCATCTGGTTTACTCACCGGAAAATTCTTACGGTCCAAATTTCACTTCCAGAACCTGGAAGTGCGTTCTGATTGGTCGACACAGAGTTGCTAGTTTCAGAAGACGTATCAATTACTTTCCACTCTGTTTTGTTTTGAGAGATTCCCTTAAGACTACATTTGAGGATAATTGCAGGTAAATTGGTTATGAGCAGCTCTCATTGCTAGTGGACACCAGGTGATGCGGTATAAAGACGTCTGAGAGGGGAAGCTTTTGGGGAAACAATCTTTAATTACTCATAGCGGAATTTTGACGATGACGGGTGCCTATTATGTTGACATTGATTTCACAATTGCTTCTACTTACTTCCATTGCACACCTTTAAAGATAGATTGTTCTGATCATCTAATCACATGAACGTCCTCATCATGGATGGGATTTTGTTGAACCCATGATCTCAGCACGGGTTACCAATAGATATAGCCAGCGAATGTGGACGTATTTCGGGTCGACGCTTCTCTCCAGCTAAAAAGTGGAGGGAAGCGACGACCCGAAATACTTCTGCAACCATTGCCATAGTTTAAATTCGAGTTTATAATGTATATCTTACAATTTTCTCAAAATCTGGAATAGTGATCAGCTGCCCGAACAAGTCTATCAGCCACTGGGTACTCAAGATGACTGTGCTACGGTGCTTGATAATTATCCCCAGGTCATGATAGAAATTCACCATGGTGGTAAACCCTTCATGGTCATTGATGAAGCACTTCTCCTTGGCATGGGTCCGTAGCTTCGTTATACTCAGGTAATAAACTGGCTTGGAAAGTAAAGCGTTGATGACCTTCTCAAAGATCAGCCATCTAGTTTATAAAAACAAAGAGAAACGTAGAAGCGCGCCTAATAGTATCCATGTCACTGCACAGTATACTGACTACAGTACAGACTACAGTACAGAGCACACGTTTCAAAACATGACGTTGAACATCCATAGCAAAAAAAATGGTGACTAAAATTGCTGTGAAAGTCGCCAAGACCGCGTTGGGAATTTGTTAAGCAGTCATGTGCAAAGTTAAATTTTTCATTAGTTAGTTTTTATGGTCTTTCTAAAGAAAAAATGAGATAAATATAAGCTTAAATAAGCTGACCTAAGACAGCAGGTTTAACCCTTTAAGCCCCAATATACACGTATTAATTCTCCATACTGATCTCTATACATTTTCTTAAGGAATGAGTTGGGAGAATCTGATAAAAGATCAAAGCATTTTCTCTAAGGCGATCATTTTATTAATTCTCATAACCTGATCTCCTGAAATTGTATGGATATCGTTAGGAGAAAATTGATGTTTGGCACTATTGGGACTTTAAAGGGTTAATAGGCCTTTTGCATTAGTTGATCACGTGATCAACTTTCTGTAAGCACGAAGACAGTTCGCTTTTTCCAAAATTGTTAGCAAGAATTGAAAGAGCATATTAAGATTAGGCAACCTGTCAATTTCCAGCCGTATATCTCAAAAGTAGCGATCGCAACGGCCGCCGAAAATTAGAAGGGAAAAACAACTCTTCCTACCCAGTCACGTTTGAGTGGTTTTCCATATAAACTCTTGAAAATTAGGAAATTTTCAAACTGTCGTAAAATATTTCCTGAAGCATTATGGGGCTCAAATCTCCCTTTTATTCATAACAGGCGATCTCAAATGCGTAAGGGAAAGCCTTCAAGACAGTTAAAAAATGTCGAAATTTACGAGGATTTCTATGGAAAACCATTCAAGTGTGACTGGGTGCCAAGAGCTGTTTTTCTGTGGTAGATGTATGTGAAATAAATCATATAAGAACTGCGGAAATCAAATTCTCATACAAATCCTTCTTATTTTCGGCGGCCGTTGCAATCGCCCATTTTAAGAAATACGGGTGAAAATTCACAGGTTACCTAATTTTAACATGCTCTTTCAGTTCCTGCTATCAAAATTGTCCAAAGGCGAACTATTTTCGTGTTTACAGAAGGTTGATCACGTTAACAACTATTGCAAAAGGCCTATATTAGCGTTAAGTGGTCACCCTGGATTAAGGTGGCTCCAACCTCACAGAACTCTGGAAAGAGGGGCTTTTATTTTCCCTTGGTTGAACTCACTGTTTAGTATCAAGGTCGAATTATAGTCAACTTACGGATATCTTGATGATATGGAAACAGCTCAACTCCCGGCAAAAACGACTGAAACAAACTCGCCTTCCCCAGCGTATACACAGTTAAAAGAAATGACTGTATCGATCTGTCTGCCTTTACATTAAAGGGACCTTTAACTGGATGTTCTGGTAAACCACATGAGTATGAAGTTTACTACACTTTAAATTTTTGAACGACAATGAAATCCACACAGTGCTTTTCGCCTAATTCCTAAAAGCTAAATGAGAAAATTTTTTTCTGTCAAACCCTTTAGGGCAGGATATTTCTTCAGCCCAGTCAAACCTGCATTACATAGTTAACTTACTGTAATCATGGCAGAAATTCATTCCTTATTACTGCTTAGACTGTTCACAGTCCCCTATTTTGCCGTGAGATCGTCGAGCGCGTCTTACCGTTAATGGCGGCCATCTTGATTTTCAAATGTACCGCGTGGGCGAGCGTCGGGGATTATACCTCCGTTCCCCGCCTCCTAAGTAGATTTGACACTTATCTTATATAGCCGCCCTCAACTCTCGACGGTCTTACGGAAAAATAAGGGACTTTGAACAGTCTAATGACTGTCAGGAAATGATATTTTTTTCCACCTGAGTGAGAGACTACAATTAACAGCCTCTAGGCCTTAAGCGGATGTTTTGGCCGGGTGTTAGGAAAACTAAGACCAAAGACCTAAGACTCGCCTTAGTTTTCGAGATTACGAAGACTCCAAAAAACTGATTCCGTCGAAGTGTGAAGTCAAATTATAACTGAAGATAGGTATGATTTGTCAAATTACAGAAATTATATTCTGTCCGATCCTTTCCATGGAGGTTTAGGTCAAATTTAGCGGGAGATGTAGGGGTCTCAGATTTCGTAGTCTCGTTAATTAAGAAAACAAGGACCCTGTCATATCGAGTTATGAGCTGATTAACCGAGATTATAGAATTGAACAATAAACACTTAGTTTTGAAAATAAAACACATTGATTGATTGAATTACTTTGAAATGAGGGAAATTTTATTACAGCATTTAAGAATAGCTTAATCACTTTTCTTTCATTCTGATTGTATCCCTCGGAGTGTTATACTCAAAAAATGGTTTCATAAAGATACGAAAGACCCTACAAAACTAACCCGTAAAATATATATGAAGTCGGATTACGACCCTTCAAAGACTATATTCTGTAAAACTACTGAAAACTATCATCCGCTCAATCTGCTTCTTCTAATCTATAGACATATAAATTCAGGCATACATAAGGATGAATACGTATGTATAAATTGTACACTCAAAATATGCCTTACCCCGATTTATCGATAACTTTGGTAAAATCGGTAAAATCATTCCGCTGTACATGGGTTGTTGCTGCGACCCTAATTGCGTTACCAGAATATTATCAAAATCGCTTTCGTCTATCAATTGGGTTATCGGTTAAACATCACACAAAAAGGCATTCTTAAAAACGGTCAGTGTAAAACGCAGACTGCGGACTGCAGACTGCAGACTGCGGACCAGGGGTAAAATGCAGACTGAGTGTAAAATGCAGACTGCAGACTGAGAGTAAAATGCAGACTGGGGTAAAATGCAGACCGAGCATAAACTGTAGTTGTGAAAAGGTTTAAGGGTCAAAAAATCCCGCAAATACATGTAAACGAACACTTACTTGACGACATCTGCTTTCACAAATCTATTCAGGACTTTCTTCTCCGGAACGTTGTCGACGACCCAAAAACATATAATCGCAATCTTGAACCTTTTTTCCGTCCGAGAGACCTCACGCTTCAAGTTTAGACGCGAAGTTTTCGATATACGTGACCAGGGACCGTGAATTGTTACAACACCAGGATGTTTACGCTTAAATGGAAGCTGCTGACCCAAAATACTGTACAGGAAGAATTATGCTGATAAAAAGGGAGTAAATCATTCCAACACCAAAGAAAGATGTTCTGCAGGAAATTTGGATGACCTTCTATGAAAGTATTGCGAATCAAGGTACACAGACTTAACCTGTTCGGATTTTCATTGAAACTTCTGGCGAATGTGCAATCCACTTCAACTAGGAAGCGAAGTGTGTAACTGATACCGGCTAGCTATTTCACCGATTTGGAGAAGAAGGAGCACAAATGTTTAAAAAAGTCTACAGTCTTTATTCTGCATTTTACCCCAGTCTGCATTTTACTCTCAGTCTGCAGTCTGCATTTTACACTCAGTCTGCATTTTACCCCTGGTCCGCAGTCTGCAGTCTGCAGTCCGCAGTCTGCGTTTTACACTGACCGCTCTTAAAAAGGGCGTTTTCCCGAGAGGTTATTTTTATCGTTGCCACCCCGGAGATCACTGGAAAGTAGGAGAAAAGTTAAGGGCAGTACCGGGGTAGGGTAAGCTTTCCCCGCAGCCGTTTTTTGGATGTCACGCAATGCTCCCCAAAAAGATTTGGGGAAGCGTTGCGTGACATCCAAAAAACGGCTGCGAGGGAGACTAGGGTAAGGTGGGGGCACAGAGAAATAGTCTGAGAGAGTTACCGGCTAAAAATCTAAGGTTGACATTTTCACTATTTAAAGTTTGATACATTACTAATCTGCTGTCAATTTACTATATTTGTTGAAAGTTTACTGAAAAGGTTTATTTGAACATAGGACCCGGAAACTTGTGCGCGCCATTTGTCAACAGAAGTCTGCTTGGGCATTAGGGGGTATTTTCAGTGAAAGAGCCTATTTTCGACATTAGTAAAAGCATATTTGTCTTGTTTTAACTTACAGCGAATAAATCTCGTTAAATGAAAGGAAAATGGTTTCAAACGTTTGACAGCGGAAGAGGGGCACTCCGCCAAAATAGTTATACGGGTATGTGCCTCTCAACGGGGCAATGATTCGGAAGTCCCAGATTTAGAACGGTGTTATACATATTTTTTCCTTTCATGAAAGTTTCAAATTGCTAGCAGCCATAAAACGCAAAATAATAAAAAAAGCAAACTGTTGTGTTGCGCGTCGTAGGCCGTGGTAATGTAATTGTCGCGTAATAACGTGTTTACCCTGCACTCGCGCTTCGCGCCCCAAACAGAAAAAGACGAAATTGTCGTATTTTGAGTCGAAGTCGAAGGTTAAGTCGAACAGACATAGAAATAACTTTGTTTCTTTTTTTCAAAAAAGGGCCGGAAGGGCTTTGGAAACTTACTAAAATTCTAGAACGGGGTATCATTTTTAGGCAAATTCTTTTTAAAACGAGGTCCAAATTTGGAGACCCGGGCAGCTCATACCCACCTAAAAAATCATTACCCGAGGAACCCCTTCGTGCCCGCCCCCTAGCGGGGTAACGTTTCCGAAAGCGATTTTGAAGATATTCAGGCAACGGAAGCCTGAATACTGATATGTCTGCAAATTAGACGCGGATCGAGTGTTCTGACGTTTTACGGATTACAGTCTTTGAACGGTCGTAATCCGACTTCATACATATTTTACGGACTGGTTTTGTGCGAGTCCTAGTTTTCGTGATAACGAAAACTATGTATGTATGTAGTATTTACATGTACTCCTGTCTGTTGCGTTTGACCTTTTAACATCCTGTATACTGTTTTTTTTTACTTAAGGATTAATAAATATGTATGTATGTATGTACATACCAGGGGTCTTTGTTTTCGAAACTACGAAAACTAAGAACCCTAAATTTACCGCTGAATTTGACCTAAAACTCCGTGGAAAGGATCGGATAGAAGATAACGGTTATAATTTGACTTCATACTTCGACGGATTCGATTTTAGGGGGTCTTTGGTCTTAGTTTTCGAGGGTCTTAGTTTTCCTAACACCGAGCCAAAATATCCGCTTAAGGCCTAGAGGCTGGTGAATTCTAGCCCGTCACTTACGGGGAAAAACTGTCATTTCCTAGCACATGAACAGCTTCTGGTTAATTAACATAAGGAAACCATGTAATTCAGGTTCGACTGAATTTCACCTAAAACTACGTGGAAAGGATCGAACAGAAGATAATTTGACAGATTATACCTCAACTTCGGTTTTAACTTAATTTCATACTTCGACGGATTCGCATTTTAGGGCGTCTAAGTTTTCGTATAATCTCGAAAACTAAGACGGGTCTTTTAAGTGTTTTAGGTCCTAGTTTTCGAGGGTCTTAGTTTTCGTAACACCCTGTTTGTGGTCACGCTTTAGTATAACGTCAGAGTCCATGAGTTACTGATGAAATTATTATTAATGTTAATGGATTGTGTTCTTGTATAAAGGCGTTATTTACCTCACAGGTATCCTCTCCCCAATGTAAGGCTCCTGTCTTAGCACTTCCATGATTTTGACCCGTAGAGCTCGGATGTCATCAATGTTTTCATCTTCCCTAAAAACATTTCTGATCTTATTTTGAAGTAACTTCGCAGTGTTGTCAATGCTAAAGATAGACCGCACCACATGTCCTTCATAGTCCTTACCAGCAATTGCGTTCTGGATTTCTGTTTTCATTGCTTCAATGTTTTCAAATGGTTTGTCTGCATGGGTTCCTACTATGATCACTGGGGGGCGCAAATGAGGCACCTCTTCTTCTACATCATCACAGGTTTCTCTTCTCATCTGTGCGACGCTATGCACTGTGGACAGCCAGGACAACAAGTTCTCAAGATTTGTTTCTCCATTGGGGTTTTCCAAATCAACATTACGAGATCCTTGTCTCACACAGGGTTTGGCTGGCTCATGCAGTGACTTGCTGAGGTTGCACACCAAGATGTACAGCGCACGTGATGATAAAAATACAGGATGGGATGCATAATACAGGTGTTGTCCAGCAAAATCCCACAGTTCAATACTGACAACAGATTCTTCAGCCTTAACATCTTCACCTTTTAATTCCTTTATCAACTTTACAGCTCGCTTCTTGATCTCCCCTGGAGGGATCTCGTCTGGACGTAAAGTAGTATCAACCACTAACTCATGATCAGGTCCTGTTAATGTGAGTTCATTAACACCGTCTTCGTTTGGATCACCTTCCTGTAAAAGAGTATAAAAAAAGAAACAATATAACTGTTGTTTCGGATTCTGAAAGACAATTTTGGGGTGTGAAAAAGAATAATAGAGTAAGAATGACGGAAATCGTTTAGTTGGAATAATGGAATAATGCCATTTTGTGGCGCGGAATAATGGAATATGCAGATTTTTTCAACGGAATAATGAGTTCTTTTTTCTGGAATAATGGAATAACGAAAATTTTCCAGCTGAAATATTGACATAATGAACACCTGATTATTTCTCTTCACCCCCCGATTCGATTATTCAGCCATTTAAAGTTGTTTTTCATGATAGAAAATTCTTTGTAGACTTAAACATGGAGGCACGATTATTGCATGGAGGCATGAGGTATCCACAACATTACAACGTTCTTGCATTTTTTAACAGTAAATTTAAGAATATATAGAAAAAAATATTTGATAGAGTCCCCCAGCCCTTTGTCTTTGCGCCTCGCATAAAAAAGAAAACAATAGCGAAATTGTGATTAAAAACAACAAAGCTATACTCAGGGCCTAATTAACACTTAAAAGTATAAAATTAATAAAGATACTGCTAAACTCACTTTGGTTTGCACACACGCACTAATGACCCAAACGCTAAGCTTACGTGTGGATGGGTACAACATAAAACAAAACACTAGTAGTATCATTCTACACTTGGAACTGAAATTACTAGACAAGTATAAAAACGCTAAATTTTTAACCGCCACTAAAAAAAAAACGATCTGGCAATTATTACATATTTTCCTCATGGACATTGTAGGAAAGGACAGGGAAGCCGTGGCGAGTTCCTCACTAAAACCTAATTTATGAAGGCGATATTCAATTCATAATAATTACTGTTAACACGTTCTTGAAGTCACGGAGGATTCACGAAAAAACATCACATTTCAAAACCAAGAAAGACTAACCTGGTTCACAAGAGAAACTTCTTCGTTTTCTGCATCAGTACCAACCTGTTTCCTACTCTTGTTATCATCATTTTGAAGAATTACATCACCTCTTTCCTCCTCCTGAACCAAATCACGGTTAACTGAAATGTCATGAATCTTTTCGACCACCACCTGTGCCACATCTTTCGAACATCCTAGCAAACCTTGTTTTCTCGCATCAATAGGTTGCCAATTCCTGACTTCATCAAAGTCCAACCGAAATTTTGAGGGATCCACTTCAATTCCATCAGTACTTTTTTCTTTTGAATTAAAAGGTAGACCAATGAGAGACTTCTTCAAACTTGTTTTTCCTGCCCGATCCTGCCCAATAAGCAATACTCGACCACGGTAAATATTAACAGCTCCATCTTTCAGAGCACTTTGATAAGCGAGCTGAGCTTTTTCTCCGCGTGCTTCTATTTCTAAAGGAGCTAGTGAAAAAAAAGGATGCTTATTAAATGTAAGTAATGTCTTAGAGGTTGCGTATTTCATTGGCTTCTAGTTCACTTGTCTGACCTAGGAGGTCAAGGGGGGAGAATTAGTCCTTCACCAGTGTTAATTGTCCTTCTTGTGATCTTTCAGTATAGTCTTTTAAGTTATTAAACCAAATCTATGGTAAACATAATTTTACTGAATTTCGCATGTGACAGATATAATTAAATGTTGGTTATTTTTGATACTGTTAAACAATCCACCTGCTATTTTAAACTTGTTTTTTACTACGCTTACTTCAAGTCTCCATGCATGTTCAATACACCATAAATGGTGCGTAAAAATTAGTGTTGTGTTTTCATCACCAGAATTATAAGTGTTGTTTGTATTCATGTGAAATACCTGTCCCTCTAAAAGATACAATTATTCTGAACATCAACAATCTTACTTCGTTCCAATAAGCGCTCACTCTCTAATAAGTACCCCTATTGCATAAGCACCCTCGTTCCAACCCAGGGGGGACTTGGGTTAATTTTTGTTAGGTATGTGCCGCTGGCCTCTCAAAACCCCGAAACCATTATAGTCTATACTGTGGCAATATTGTTGGATCATTCTCCACTGCAGCTTGACAGGGAGGGGATAAAAGAAAGAGAAGATGGCGAGAGGGGTGGGAGTGGGCGATTACTGGAGGGAGGCGATTATTTTAAACATTTCGGTCTAAGGTGGCGATTATTCGAGGGACCCCTCTTATTCGAGGACTGTTTTGCTTCGGAGTCATGGTTGAGAATTAACTAGAATTATAATCTTGTCACATTCGAATTGGCCAGAGGGCTATATTATGGTGAGCAAAGATCGAGCTGGCTCGCCGATCGGTGGTGGTGTTGTTATTATTTGTCGGAAGGATTGGAAGGGTAAAGCGTTGAATGTCACTGATAGCTTGGAATTTGAGTCTTAGTTGGAGACCATGTCGCTTTGTAGACATGATGAACTCGTATAGCAGACGAGAATTCCCCTTCATAAACAAGCTTCGAACTCCAAATCAAGGGATTGCCAGAAGGAGCCATGATCGTAGACCTTTGCTAATCATTGCTCATACGGTGCCCTGCCCCTGTTTTATGGTTCGAGAGTTTTGCTTCGCAACCTCAAAGAAATAGACGCCCTGTTTCGAATAAGCGCTCTCATTTGAGAAACAATAAGTATATAAGCGTTCCGGGCGCTAAATCGAGTCATTACGCTAAATAATTTAATGGCATTGTCTTTTGTTTAAATTCTCCTGTAGTTTGTTTCCTCCTCTCTAAGTATTATGCTTTTGAAGTGGTGGGAAGCTTTGGTTACCTTAGTGATCCTGGAGGCTACGTGCTGGGCAGGTTTCAGGTGAAAGGCAAGACACCTGGCCGTCCATTTCGGGGGGGGGGGGGGGGGGGGGGGGGTTAGGCAATTCACTTACTATTACCGTACATGCTGACAGGGAAAACAACAAAAACTAACTTGCAAAACAAACCTAAGTGAAGCTAAGTGTGACTTATAACTTTGTTAAATGGTATAACAAATTTCAGACCAGTTATAGTTTAGATCACGAGAAGTGCTTTCTCAGGCTTAAACACAGCAAACCAAGCCACCTTTTCTAATTTGAAACGTGAACAACGAGCTTACTGAACAGCTCAAAACTCTTCATCCTTAACGGTCTGTTTATTGTTCTGTAACAATATTTTTTTTCTATTTAATACGTATAGTGTTCAGCGGCCAAACTTCCATAATTATAACATTATAATATTACATCATCCATTAAGTGAAAAATGGCTTTAAGACTCTGCGGTTGTGTTTTCACTGAGATAATTTTAGCTAGATAAAGCCAGAAAAGTCCAGAAATACAGTCAAAACACCTCGTCTTGTGTTAGCGAGTTAAACATGCTCACTGTTTTTTCGGCTTTATGACCGAAAAATTACGCAAAGTTAGACAACCTCGCGAGATGGTAAAACTTGTCCTGATAAATACCGCAGCCAATCGCGTTGCGCGTTGTGACAGACACCTGCCAAATGACCGGCGAATTTAATGAACATTTTACTAGAGGCTGTAGTGAAGGGCTTCCAACAGTGCCCATTTACAATAAGGACGGGTCAATCTTTTGTCCTCGATGAATAAATCGACAATTAAAAGGTAAGACTTTTAATTACTAATTCGTAGCCAGTGGTAGCGCAAACGTATCTGAAATCATTATTTAAGGGTTACAATTGACAATCTATAAAATGGATGAAAATTGATAAAAATTCACAAAAATTGATACTCACAACTCTTTCGATCTTCGATATTTATCGCTTACCGATATCAATCGCTTAATTACTATCGTTTAAAATCGAATAGAATCCATTATTTCGATCAACGAGTTTCATCGATTTGCCACGGCGGGTTAAACCCACGCTACTTTACGGTAATTATTGCTGTTTTGCTGTTACATTTTGAAACAGGATTATAACATTACTTCCTATCCTCTTACTCTTTAGAGACACTATTCAACTGCATTCATAAAATAGCGAGAATCATTAAACGAAAACACATTCAAAGCGCTTCGTTTCCTAACATTTTTAAATGTGGCACGCTTTTTAAATTTGAATCCTCTGAGTTCTTCCGAGCTAAATTTAAAAGTGAAAAAAGCTAGCAATCGTCGGTATGTCAACAAACACCCGCTCAGCAGCAAATCGACCACAGTGAAAACATAGCCTCCCCCGCAGGCGTTTCTAGGAGAGCTCGTATTTCTTCCCTCCCCGAAGAAATACTAGCCTGCGAAAGGGTGTTTCTAAAACGAAGACCCTCTGGACTAAAAGAAAGACCCCCTGGACTAAAACGAAGACCCATGTGGATTTTAAATTCTTGCGTAATTTGTTACGGCGATTTGGGAATGTTGTGGAATTTTCTCTGCGCTATTTAATTGTGATAGTGAAGTCTATCACTTACCTTTTCTTCAAAAGGTGTTTCCATGTGTCACTTTACAAGTTTCTTCGAAAACAGTTTTGTTTAAGGAAAAATTTCTCACATCATCTGTTCGAGAAAGCCTTCGTATCCTGTTGGTAACGCCTGTGGGCGCGACGAAAGTGTAACGGGTTCGAATCTTTCCGAACCGATGTACTTTTCTTCCTTTCCTTTTTTTTTTCTTTTATTTTTTACCACAGTTATCATTATAACATCTGCTTGAGCCGTAAAAGATGAGTCATTTTTTAACAGTAGAGGTCAGAATAAAGTAACAGGGTTATAAATATAACCCGGCATATATACAAATGAACCATGCTTACATGAAACTCGAAATGTACACCTTTACTCGAATGGTGTTCTCGATCGACGGCTTTTTTTCTTATTGACGAGGTAAAAAGCAATAAAAAGAGCGCGAGGTTCCCCTCTCCTTGAATTCATGAATGTTAAATGTCTCGTTGTTATTTTCTCCCTACGTCGGTTATTTTCTTTTGTAAACGTATTGATCGATACAATTGCTCGACATTTTAGAACGCTAGAGCACGCGGTTATATTTTCTTAGCCGTCGATCGAAGAAACGGTAAGTGATAGACTTCATTATCACAATTAAATAGCGCAGAGGAAATTCCACAACACTTAATCCACAGGGGTCTCCGTTTTAGTCCAGGGGGTCTTCGTTTTAGTCCAAGGGGTCTTCGTTTTAGTCCAGTGGGTCTTCGTTTTAGTCCAAGGGTCTTCGTTTTAGTCTACGAGGTCTTAGGTCTTCGTTTTAGAAACACCACCTGCAAACAGCAGACGTATTTCCGGTCGTCGCTTCTCTCCCTCCGAAAGTTCGTGAAAACACAACTTGTGAGTCATTTAGTAAGGGAGTGATGGAATACAATGTTTAGTGTTCATAACCTTAGATATTACCCTACCCTGGATAATAGCTATTTTTCACAGCCGATTTGAAATTTTAAAACAGACCAATTAATTAAAATGAATTAATACGTACAAGAAACTTATCATTGATTTTGAAAGTACAGTTTGTAGCATATCTTGATTTATCAAACCCAAAAATTCGCGAAACCCCCGATAACTGAAAAAAAAAAATGACTTCCCTTTCCCAGGCAAATAGTGGAATTTTATCTCGGTTTTTTTCGAACTTTCAAATAACTACAATATCCGCTGTGCTTACCTGCATCATCATATACACGTACTCCTTTTTTCTTTAACTTTAAGGCACGTCTCATTGCGTCAACAGTTAAAGGATTACGCATCACAGTCAGCCACCACAGCTCCCTGAGGTCACCAATCTCAGCAGGTAGTTCAGTTAGATTATTTCCATCCAAGTGCAGCCATTTAAGGTTGGTCAGCCTCTGTATACTGGTAGGTAGACCAACCAACTGGTTGTTACTCACACTCAGCTGCCTCAGCTCCCTGAGGTCACCAATCTCAGCGGGTAGTTCAGTTAGTTTATTGTTACTCAAGTGCAGACTTTGAAGCTTGGTCAGCCTCTGTACACTGGTAGGTAAACCAGCCAACTGGTTGTGACTCACCCACAGCTCCCTCAGCTCCCTGAGGTCACCAATCTCAGCAGGTAGTTCAGTTAGATTATTTCCACCCAAGTACAGCCTTTCAAGCTTGGTCAGCCTCTGTACACTGGTAGGTAAACCAGCCAACTGGTTGTGACTCACCCACAGCTCCCTCAGCTCCCTGAGGTCACCAATCTCAGCAGGTAGTTCAGTTAGATTATTTCCATCCAAGTACAGCCTTTCAAGCTTGGTCAGCCTCTGTACACTGGTAGGTAAACCAGCCAACTGGTTGTGACTCACCCACAGCTCCCTCAGCTCCCTGAGGTCACCAATCTCAGCAGGTAGTTCAGTTAGATTATTTCCATCCAACTGCAGCCATTTAAGCTTGGTCAGCCTCTGTATACTGGTAGGTAAACCAACCAACTGGTTGTTACTCACCCACAGCTCCCTCAGCTCCCTGAGGTCACCAATCTCAGCAGGTAGTTCAGTTAGATTATTTCCATCCAAGTACAGCCTTTCAAGCTTGGTCAGCCTGTGTATACTGGTAGGTAAACCAATCAACTGATTGTACCTCACCCTCAGCACCCTCAGCTCCCTGAGGTCACCGATCTCAGCAGGTAGTTCAGTTAGATTATTTCCATTCAAGTACAGCCTTTCAAGCTTGGTCAGCCTCTGTACACTGGTAGGTAAACCAATCAACTGATTGTACCTCACCCTCAGCACCCTCAGCTCCCTGAGGTCACCGATCTCAGCAGGTAGTTCAGCGATTTTGTTTTCATCCAATTCGAGCACAATAAGATTTTTCAGCTTGCTGATACTTGCTGGTAATTCAATCAGGTTATTTTTATCCAGCACAAGTTTCTCTGTTTCACTCAGTTCAGTCGCTGCATCAGGTACCCTAAAGAGTCTTTTTCCCTTCAGACCCAAAACTGCTAATCCATCTTCATATTTTAAGTAAGCTCTCAATTTTGTATTGGAATAATGCTCCATGTTTCAAATTGTTAATAAAAAGTCTCAACAGTTCTTCTTACCATCTAGAAATAACAAATAGTAACCTAGTATAGAAAAATCAAAATCATATCATCAATATAGGTGAATTTTACAGTATTAAAATAAAAGAAATCTAGAACAGATGCTGTTAGTGCATTCAAAAAATCTTTTATTAGTAGACTAGGGTATCTAAAAGATAGTAATGCTGCGGCACATTCTGTTGATAATGTCATTAGTTGGGCAGTGATCCATGTGCTTGCACGCAAATTAAAAGAATTGAAAATGACAATACACTTTCGCCCTTTTCTTGCTGTACAAAGCTCAAGGGTTTCTTTTCTGCTCGATCTTAAGCGGCTACCATTTTCTTCCAAGTGTCTCCTCTTTCTCATTTCAATTCACTCTAAACTATTGTTGATGACCACCAAAAATGCAAAGATTGACTCAGGTCATCTTAGGGAGGTGGTCACTTATTGAATCAAACAACAGTGGGTCCCGTCCTAGAAGATTGAGATCCCAGCACATCTACTTTTTGGAACAGAATTCATCACATGTAATTTCTAATCTGCAATATGTGTATAGTTTCACGGTGTCACTGAAAGATTTTCACATACTTTGAATAGTGTACTACATACAACAAACAACAAAAAAATCCCTGACCATGATACAAGGAAAACAAATTATGTCATTATTGTGTACTGCTCAGACTGTTTGGAATAAAGGCCTTAAGAAACACTGATTCCCAATTGTGGCTATGTATGGGACATGTATTATGGGTAGGTGAACATGTTTGTGATCAGGTACATGTAATATAATAATTATTATATTATATTACATCATATAGTGACAAATGATTTGATTTCTGCAGATCTGGAAATAATCCCGGGAGGGGGCGGTTAATTGATTTTCAGTGGCAGGCAATGGGGATGCCTATTTGTCGGATTTATGCTTATTTGAGGGGGAAACACTTATTTGAAGGGGTCGCTTATTTCATTTTTTAGTATTTCAGCCTCAAGATAGCATTTGTCTTTCTTTCACACAGACAAAAAAAACTAAGCAATGAAACTACAACATATTTTTCAATATATACCCAAGTGTGTTATGATCATGTCCTTAGCTTGGAACTTTCCATTAAAACTATCCTCAAGCACTATATTCAGAGGAGCTGAGTCATTAACATCTGATCATCTGATGTCCCCAAATAAGTTATTCTCTTGTGACTGTAACTTTTATGCTACCCTTTTAAAAGATAAAAGTCCAGTATACCATGTATTTAGTAAGGCAGGCTGTTAAAGGTGATTGCTTATATGAAGGGGAGGGCAGAAAGCTTAAAAGAACACTTTCCCATTACTGTACATGTACCAAACTTAGATTCTCTGACAGGACATTGAGAATTCAAAAGATCCACACAGTGTTATAGAACCTTTAAAGATCTTTGTATCATGCTCGGTTGAGTTACACCACTTACCTTCTCAAAACTACAGATCAATGTTCCCATTAACTTTTGATTTGAGTGAAATTGGGAGTTTTTAGCATTGCTTTCAGTCAGATATAAGAAAGAAACAGATGAGACATGGATGCCACTGAAAAGATCTTGCAAGGACATGTTAGTAAAATCTAAAATCCCCTTAAAAATACGACCAACTAAATTAACCAAACAGCTGGCCCGCAATGTACAGAAAAACGAGTGCAATGAAATCATTATAAATTATTATGTTTGACAAACCTTTGCGATGCCTTCATCATGTAAAGATTGCATCTTTATTTGAGGGTTTGAGGCTAGAACACGAGCAAATATTGAGCTGTGAGACAAGTGCAGAGCAGAAAAGCTGTAAAGCAAGCGGAACAAGCTTTTAAGGTTGCAATGCAGCTGAGCAAGTGAAAGAAATCACAAGAAATCTTTTTGTGCCATGAGCCAGTCATTAAATAAAATGAAAGACTTTGTCAAAAGTGTAAAATATTACTTGAGATATGTAAACAAAGGAACTCCGTTGGAGATGAAGTTGCAAGAAAATCTTGTTGGATCTGAGTGTGACAGTTCTGTTGTCGTTTCAAGAAAAAACACATGATGTTTATGTGTGCACATAATCATGATAGTGTCCCTTTAGTAATTATTTTAATATTTGAAGCCTAAAAGGGGGGTACCTATTTGAATGGGGTGCCTATTTGAGGGTCTGCAACCCTTGTAAATGTAAAGAGCTGGTTGTTAGAAAGAAAAATTATGATTTTTAAGCTCCATTTCTCGTAATGAAATACTTTTTTAATATATATATATTTATGTAGATATTTTTATCATAGTTTTTTATCTTCCGTATTATTGTAACATAAGATATGTAGTTTTATCTTTTGATGAAATAAAGATTTATTATTATTATTTATTGGAGAGGGAGGTTAATTTGAGCATTTAGGGTAATTAGTGCCTTGGGGCTACGTATCTTAAGCAATAGATTGATGTCTTGATTATTGTTTTTATTGCCCAACTTTATTGTCTCAGGAATTCCCTTGTGCCGTAGTGAATTCTTGAGACTCAGCAATTCAGGAGAGGAATTTTGAGATTTAATTTTTGGTCCAGGGATTCTTTCAGGTGTTGTAGGGAGGACAATAGATTTTTTGTTCTTATACTCCACTGAACTTAAATCTCGGGTACCCCCTCAGTCAATAAGATCATTATTTACCCCTGTAGCCTCGCTCTTTCTCCTAGCTAGGTAATGTGGTCTGCTCGTATTTATGGCTAGTGACAGGACAGGTAATCTAAGACCTCTGATATACTTCCACTTCTTCCACAACTGAAATCGGTCAGTGTAAAACACAGACTGCGGACTGTGGACTGCAGACTGCGGACCAGGGGTAAAATGCAGACTGAGTGTAAAATGCAGACTGCAGACTAAGAGTAAAACGCAGACTGCGGACTACAGACTGCGGACCAGGGGTAAAATGCAGACTGAGTGTAAAATGCAGACTACAGACTGAGAGTAAAACGCAGACTGCAGACTGCAGACCGCAGACTGCGGACCAGGGGTAAAATGCAGACTACAGACTGAGAGTAAAATGCAGGCTGGGGTAAAATGCAGACCGAGCATAAACTGTAGTCACGGAAGGGTTTATGGGCAAATAAAATCCCGCAAAAATATGTGTAAACAAACACTTACTTGACGACATATATCTGCTTTCACAAATCCAGTCATTCCTCTCTGGCTGGAACTTCCTCGACGACCCAAAAACATAATCGCAATCTTGAACCTTTTTTTTCCCGTCCGAGCATGGATAATGGATAGACTTTACTTTCTATATCCATTGTCCGAGAGACCTCAAGCTCCAGTTTTCGATACACCCGACCGTGAATTGGTACAACACGATGTTTATGCTTAAATAAAAGCTGCTGACCCAAAATACTGTACAGAAAGAATTATGGCGATAAAAATGGGAGTAAAACATTCCAACAACAAAGAAAGATGTTCTGCAGGAAATTTGGATGACCTTCTATGAAAGTATTGCAAATCAAGGTAGGCGGACGTAAGCTGTTCGGACATTCATTGAAACTTTTGGCGAATGTGCAATGTACTTTGACAAGGAAGGTGTGTACAAGGTGTGTAACCGATACCAGCTGGCTAATCACCTAGCCTGAATAGCAGGCGTATTTTGCTGTGCGATCGATTTGGGCTTTCGACTGACCGAGAGTTGGGGCGAGTCAAAAAATGATTCAATACAATAAAACGCCTGTTCTAAGGCTATAATTCACCTATGTGGAGAAGAAGGAGCACAAAAGTTTAAAGAGTCTGCAGTCGATCTTAATTCTGCATTTTACCCCTAGCCTGCATTTTACTCTCAGTCTGTAGTCTGCATTTTACACTCAGTCTGCATTTTACCCCTGGTCCGCAGTCTGCAGTCTGCAGTCCGCAGTCTGGGTTTTACACTGACCGCAATTGAAATAACAGATCATTGTATTCCTCTTCCAGATAAGGTCAATCGAATGAATGCACCCTTAAGCATACTCGGCCACTTTATTTACACTTTAAACCTGAACGAGGAATAACATAGAGCATACTTGTCATTCAAAGAGATGCAAGTAAGTGGCCGGGTATTCTAAAGTTAATAACAATGGAATGAGTCTTAACACGAACTGATACGAGTAAGCGCAGGAAGTGAAGTGAGCTTCCTCTTACCTCAACAACTAGGTGGTATTAAATGCCATAATCACGCGTGCACTTTCTATAAAGTATTCTATATGTAATGTACAAGTCTTACCTAAGGCCGCTGACCTGAGGAAGGAAGCGTTTGATGAATTTCCTCTAAATATCGCGATTGTTCTTTAGCTTCTTTCACGGAATGCACTGATTACTGACTAATGGCTGACTTCCAGTTTATTCCTCGTTCCCAGGGTCTCTCTACCGAATGGCATGCTAGGAACTTTTACGCCCAGTGAACGGGGGACACTACGGGTACGGAGGGGTGGGGGGGGGGTT